GCTGCTCGCTGTCGTCTCGACTACGCTGCTAGTCTTGTTGCTGAGTCTGCGTCTGTCTGTCCTCCGTCCGTCGGGGGTGAGTGTGCTCTTGGCACGGACGTCCTAGAGGACAGGCAGGAGGAGTTACAGTGTCTAGCGGCTGCTTCACCTCATCTCGCGTCTGTACTGCTTGCCCCTGAGGGAGACCCGGATGCACTAGACATCCCGACTCCGCGTTCTTACGCGGAGGCCGTAGAGGGTCCCTACTCCTCTCAGTGGCAGGCAGCTATGGATGCAGAGATGGCTTCCTGGAAGTCCACAGGCACCTACGTTGACGCGGTTCCCCCTCCTGGGGCGAACATCGTCAGTGGCATGTGGATCTTCAGGGTGAAGCGGCCGCCGGGCTCTCCACCTGTCTTCAAGGCACGGTACGTTGCTCGTGGCTTCAGTCAGCGGCAGGGAGTTGACTACTTTCAGACCTTCTCTCCCACCCCGAAGATGACTACTCTTCGGGTGCTGCTGCACATAGCCGCTCAGCGCGACTACGAGCTTCACTCTCTCGACTTCAGCACTGCGTTCTTGCAGGGTAGCCTGCACGAGGAGATCTGGCTTCGCCGTCCACCTGGCTTCACTGGGACTTTCCCTCCTGGCACCCAGTGGAGCCTCCGACGGCCAGTCTACGGTCTTCGCCAGGCACCGCGTGAGTGGCACGACACACTGAGGACTACGCTTGCGGCTCTTGGGTTTGCTCCTTCTACTGCTGACCCGTCGCTGTTTCTTCGCACCGACACTTCCCTGCCGCCGTTCTACATCCTCGTGTACGTCGACGACCTGGTCTTTGCCACAGCGGACACTGCTGGACTCGCCTACGTGAAGTCCGAGCTGTTGAAGAGACACACGTGCACAGACCTGGGTGAACTGCGCAGCTACCTTGGCTTGCAGATCACTCGGGACAGAGCACGCCGCACCATTACCTTGACTCAGTCACACATGGTGCAGCAGGTCCTTCAGCGCTTCGGCTTCACGTACTCCTCGCCTCAGGCCACTCCTCTGCCTACTCGCCACTCACTCTCAGCTCTGCCTTCGGATGAGTCCGTAGAGTCGAGTGGTCCGTATGCGGAGCTTGTTGGCTGCCTCATGTACCTGATGACCTGCACACGACCTGACCTTGCATACCCTCTGAGCATTCTTGCACGCTATGTTGCTCCTGGGAGACACAGACCGGAGCACATGGCTGCAGCGAAGAGGGTATTGCGCTACCTGTGCAGTACGTCAGGCATGGGGCTAGTGCTTGGAGGGCGGAGTCCAGTGGTCCTTACCGGCCACGCGGACGCTTCTTGGGCTGACGACCAGGCTACGCAGCGGTCGTCACAGGGTTACACCTTCAGCCTTGGTTCCGGCTCTGTCTCGTGGCGGTCTACTCGCTCGTCTTCGGTTCTCGGCTCCAGTTGTGAGGCTGAGATCTACGCCGGGGCCATGGCTGCACAGGAGCTTCGCTGGCTCACCTACCTGCTGACTGACCTTGGAGAGCCGCCTCGTTCTCCTCCAGTGCTGTACGTAGACAACAAGGCTATGCTGGCCTTGTGTCGAGAGCAGCGCTTGGAGCACAGAACGAAGCACATTGCTCTCCGCTACTTCCTTGCTCGTGAGCTGCAGCAGCGTGGTCAGTTGCGACTTGCGTACGTGGCCTCTGAGGCCAACACTGCTGATGTGTTCACCAAGGCACTTGCGCCTTGTGACCATCAGCGCTTCTGCACCCAGCTGGGTCTTGTGCCTGTCTTGCCTCACTTGCTCTCCTCTTGACTTCACTTGTACTGTGACATATATATATACCTGCTCTTGCTTGTCTAGCTTTATATATATGTCTGTACTCTTGCTTGTGAACTGGCCTTTGGCCTTGCTCTTGTGCTCGGACTGTGTGGTGACTTTGTGATCCACCCTGAGCTTTGCTTTGTCTTGCTTGACTGGTCTTGTGACCCCTTGTTCTCCCCCACTTTGCCTATGGGGGTGTGTCAGAACATATCTATAGCTTATACTGCTGTGTAGGCTGTAGTGGGGTATCCCATAGGGGGTACAACCCAGTTAGGGTTTCATATTTGTACTGCTTTCATTCATAGTTCATTCATTCCTGTTTTCCTATTATCACAGGGAATACACACCGCCCGGCTCCTCGAGGTTTTGCCGATCGCCATCGTCGTGTTCAAGGAGTACAATCCTGACTTGAACGAGGTTGTAACCTCTTTCAAGTTTCATTTGCTACTACGCTTTCTTGATGATACCCTGTGGGATTTGAACCACTTGAATCAGCTCCAACTGAGACAGGTCAGTACTTAAGCTCAACGTCACGCTTGTAGCGTCAGTACAGAGACAAGAGATATGAACAAGTGCACCGCCCCTTACATCCCACCGTCACTTCCTTCTTGTTGATGCGGATCGACGTCACGCTTGTAGCGCACATCGTGGAGCAGACGCGTATGCGGCTGAAGGCGCGGTACCTGAGCTCGGCCCCTGGTCACGTGTTTGGAAGCGGAGGGTACATGACTCTTCCTGATTTCTTCTTGAAGCACCAGAAGCAGGACAAGCGCGAGATAAAAGCTGAAGGCGTTGACTCCGAGGGAAATCCGGTTTTGTTCTCATTCATTCTGCACGAGCGGCCGTTGAAAGGGCAGGAAACCGACCGCGACGTGACAACCTGCTATGAGCTATCGTTGAAGTTTGTCTGCGCGATTGACAAGGAACTGGGGTGGCGGATGCGTGATCTCGCCAACTTGGAGGGGTCAAAGCTATTCCGCACCCCCTCTTACCTCATGGACGACGCCAAGCGCATAGAGGCGTTCAAGCGCTGGCTGGGCAAACTGCACAAACTCTACCACGAGAAGCTGCCAGGTGAACGGTGTTGTGTTGACTCGCTGTCCGTTTTGATCATGCGTGTTGTTTGAATCTGTCGCACCATCCGCTGCTTGTCTTCGTCTTCTTCTATTTGACTAATGCGCCCCCTTCCACCCGGTGTCTGCGACTTTAGCCCAGTTTAACCCCCACCCCGTACATCAGGCTTCGACTACAAGAAGGCGAGCAACGAACTATGGATGTTCACATCCATATTGTTCAGCCAGCACAACGGGGAGGATTTCCACCAGGCGCTTTCGAACATGATGCGTGACGACGGCTGGCAATAGTCATTTCCCAACATTATGAAGTTGTGGCAAGCCGTCGCCATTCTGTAGTTGAGCATGGTGGAATGTGAACGCGGGTTCAGCAAGCAGAACCTTATCAAGACGTAGGAAAGAGGGTGCCTCTCGGACCCCAGCCTGGAGCACCTCATGCGCTGTTTCCTGGTGCAGTATGAGGTGGACTGGTTTGAGGTGGTGGCTATCTTCAGGGGGAAGAAATTGCGCCGGTCTACAAAAGACTTCAGCGGAAGCAACAAGAGCAGAACCTTGTTTGCAGAAGAGGCTGTAGAGGGGAGTGTGCCTATGACAGAGTAGATGTAGTTATTTCTTTGTGACAATGATGAGATGTATCGACATTCTTAGTGCAACACAACCTCACATTTTTATGTGCGGGATTTTGCAGTAACAATCAGTGTTGGGTCCTTGGTTGCACTGACTACCGTAAATCAGAGTGGGTTTTGTTTTAGCCAGAACCCATCAGAGTACGAGAAATTTCACCCTATGACTCAGGGTTGGGCACTACTGGAGCTCTGATTTGTAAGGGTAAGCCTAAACCCATTTTCGGCCCTGGTCGTGCCGCCTTCCTTACTACTGGGGGTGGTTTTGGTTTGGCAGCATGGACACCAGCAGCTGCTCTCCTATGGGTTACTCCTCCCTTCTTTACTAGCAACTCCTGCGTTGATTTATTCATGATTGTAGCTACCGCTACCCTAATCCATTTGTGGCTGACAAATGCAAAGCATGCTAGGAGTGCAGTGTTTTCAAATGTCGGACGAAACGTATTGAATGCCAGAAGCCATATGAAAGATTCTTAGTAATTCTCAAACACTGCTCTTTTAATGCAAATCAATACGCACACATGCATCTGCCCCTCCGGCCTTATCCAGCCTACCGTATTCTCCTGGACATAACACCCTAGGGTATAGCTAAAAATACAGGGAAAAAACGAAGGGGGTCTCCTCATAGGAAAAAAATACATAATACCCGGGTCTTTAGATATGGTATATTTTAGTGTTAGTGTTTATTTAATTAGACAATGTGGGTGTTTGATTTTCATTTTAACATCACTGTCTGAGACGCGAATGTGAGTTTCGGCCACGAACTTCATCACCCCCACGAAAATGCCATGTGGCACCTCTCTTGCCACTTGCAGCGGAAGATTGGCCTGCACGTGGCGATAGCGAAGTAGTGGGAGGGGGGAAATCTCGGTAGATTGTAAGTGAATGTACCACGAAATTTCATCTAGGGAGAATTTTTTGCGATATTCTTCCGTATTGCAGCTACTCGTTAACGACTATAATAACGAATTCGTAAGAAAAGGGGGGTGTTATAGAAAATCAGCCAAAAAGGGGGGTATAGTAGAAACGAGGTCTATCATAACACCCACCCCGCACGAGGTGTACAATTACGGGGGGGTGTTTTGTCCGGGAGAATACGGTACCACCATGTGTTCTCAGTGTGCACACGGAGGCTTGTCAAGAGCACGGGGGACGGTAGCTACAGAGGAGATCTGCCTGGGCTACTCTCAATCCAACTCCATCATCACTCCGCACCACCACCACGCCTCCTCTCTCTCACTGCTTTGCCTCTGCCCCCCTTGGCCTCCCTCCATCTACCACCCACACTGCACCGCACCCCCTCATCCCCTCGTCCCCTCATAGCCTCAACCCCTCATCCCCTCATCGCAGCCCACTCTGCCCACCACCACGCCCCCTCCCGTTCTTTTTGCCGCCTCCCTTCCGCGCCCCCACACCCCCGTAATCGCCCGCTCCCCCCACACCCCCCGCCACAAGGTGTTTGTGGGCGCGCCACTGCCCTGCCACCGTGAGCGCCCTGGGTCCACAAACCCCATCACCGCCTAGCGCCACCACGGCCCCTCCCGTTGCGCTTGCCGCCTCCCTTCCGCGCCCCCACACCCCCCTGCACGCCCGCTCCCCCAACACCTCCCGCCACAAGATGCTTGTGGGCGCGCCACTGCCCCGCCACCTTGAGCACCGTGGGGTCCACAAACCCCAGCGCTGCAAGTGATCGCTGCCGCCGCCCAAACAGCACCCCGTGCCGAAAGCTCTGTGCGGCGCGCATGATGGCCCGCGCTGCCTCCTCGCCCTCCGGCGCCGGCGCGCCTGCCTGGATGACTATGGCCCCGTCCGACCTGCGTGGTAGCCACGACACGACACGGGGGAGTAGGTTGATGTGATGTGAGGAAGAGCGAGGGGTTGGAACAATGCAGCGGGTGCCTTTGCTTGAACCAGTGCAGTGGTGTCGTGAGGGCAGTCCCCGAGGTATGGTGAGGGCGCAGGTGGGGGCAGAATGCTGACTGGGACTTTGGGAAGAAGAGGAGCAGTGATTGGCATGGAGGTGGGAGAGCAAGCTCAGCAGCTGAGACGACGCGAAAAGGGGCGGGTCAGGACTGTGGGCATGGGGATATGGAAGAGTGCTGTGAGGACAAGTACACGAGCTTACCACTCTGGCCATGGCACTGCTACCCTGCCGCAGCACCCACCGCATGCCGCAGCACCCACCCGCATGCCGCAGCACCCACCCGCATGCCGCAGCACCCACCCACATGCCGCAGCACCCACCGCATGCCGCAGCACCCACCGTGTGCCGATGACAGCTGATGTGTGGCTGTCCTTGCCCCTGCTGCCGCCCCGCCCCGCTCGCTGCTTCTTCTCCCTCACGGCTGACCGTGACCTCTCCTCCTGCGCTTCTGTGAACCTGCGGTTGGGGGAAAGGGTTTGGGTGGGGACAGGAAGGCGGGGAAAAGGCAGAATGGGGTGGGCACTAGCACAAACGACTGGGATTCATCTCAGCTCTCAACCAACCCAAAACAGTTCAACTCACTACATTCTGATTCTTCCCCCAAGCATCCCTACGCTGTGCGCGCACCTGGTGTGCTGGCGCCGTGTGACGGCAGCAATCACGTCCGCGGGAAGAAAGTCGCCCCCCTCCACCGCGCCCCCTTCCACCGCGCCCCCCTCCACCGCGCCCTCCCCCTCCTCCTCGCCCGCACCCGCACCCCCCACCGTCCCCTCCTCCCGAGCACCGCCCCTCGCCTCTGCGGGTACCAGCGACCCCGCCGCCTCGTCTCCCCCCTCCACCGCGCCCTTTCGCCGCGTGCGCCTCTCCGCGCGTCCCTCCAGCTCGCGCCTGCGCTTCGCCTTCCTCTCCGCCTCCTTGCCCCGCCGCTCCTCGCCCTCTCCCTCTTCCTCTCCCTCCCCCTCCTCTCCCTTCGCTACCAAGCCTGCTCGCTTTTGCCGAACCTTTCTGTCAGCCTTGGCGACCCTGCGCGGTGGGGCGGCGTGTAGAGGATCGGAATGAGCGACGCAATAGAGCGGGTCACAGCGGCGGAGGGGAAGAGCTCGAAGGGAAGATGCAGTTGCAAGCAACCAGTGGGGGCATGCCACGTCACCCCCCAATGCGGCGTGCACTCACATGCGGCGGGCTTCCGCCTCCTGTTGGCGCTGCTGCGACACCCGCTCGCGTCCCTGGTAGGGGGGGGGAGTGAGGAGCGGCACAGCGAAGGTTTCGGGTTTGGGAATTTTACGCAGTGATGCGCAAATCAGTTCAGAAGCAGTGGCGCGAAGAGAGGAAAAGACGGAAAGCAGCGGCGGGCGGCAGAGAGACGGCGATGGTGGGCGGGCACCTGCGACAGAGTGAACTCCTCGGGCGCATCGTCCGAATCGTTGTCGTCATCCTCGTTATCGTCTTCTCCCGCCATTTCTCCCATAACAGCACCGAATTCAATCGCAGCCGGCCGTTCATGCCCCAACTCGTCATCGCTCTCCTCATCCCCTGAACCCCTATTTTCCTCCGCCCCCTCCTCCGGCGCCCTTGGCTCCTCGTCCTCGTCGTTACTCTCTCTTCGAGCCGCTTGATCGCGATCTTCCTCGTCGGCTGCATACTCGAGTCGCCCCATCACCAACCGACGAGGGCTCGAGTGCCGCTGCCTCTTCGCGCTGCCGATAAAAGAGGGCGAAGGTTCGCGCTGCTGTTACTAGAATCGGCGATCCGCGCGTGCGCTGTGTGTGGGCTCTGGATAGCGGCGCCTAAAACGGCGACCGTAAATGTTTACCTATTTGGCCTTGCGTTGTCGGTGCGCGACACGTTTCCTAGTTATAGAATGAGCATATCAGTCACACGGCTGTTTCAGGTCAGGCTGCTGTGCCTCATACTGGTGCTGCTGGGTCCACTTCGTACCGTTTCTGTAACCCTCTAGAATACGGCTCGGTAAGACGAGAAGCATTCAGATCAGACCCTTGTAGTGAATCATCAATATCTATCTCAGTGATTGGAAAAGAGGAGAGGTATATACGCCAGGGCAAACTTTATCAGTGTAAATCACCCTGATACCCTGATAATCAGGGTGGTTTTTTATGGTCACACTGATGGCCTAGGGTTTTTTTTGGGGAGGTTGATTTACCCTGATATGTCAGGTTTTTTTTTTAAGGCACACTCATGGCCAAGGGTTTACGGATCCCGTATTGAGTTTTACCCTATAACGCGTAACCTACCCCCCCCCCCCTCCCCCCTATTCACCCACCCCCCCTTTCCCGTAACCTGGGATTCCACCGAGGCCACTGAGGCCGGAATTTCGGCCTTGACAATTCCTGTACTGGCACACAGTGGGCCACTATTGGCCAGGGTTACAGTTTCTTTGCTGGCACCGCCACCTCCGCCAGTTGGTCTGTTTGTCAGACTTGACAACAAGGCCGGATTGGCTGGAAACTTGGCTGACTGCAGCAACAATTCGGTGCCCACTAGCTCACTGGGCACCGCGTTCCTTGCACGACTAAGGCAGGCTCCGCTGCTTGTTTGCGTGCACGTTAGGAAACAAAGGCGCGAAATGACTGGGGTAATGAACACGTGCGAGGTTTCACCTCGCAAGAACACAGCACTCACGCCAAGTAGAGCAACATTGGCGGTTCTCCTGTTGTTCTTTAGCAGCCATGGCTCCTGCAGAGGACGGCGACGGTGAAGCTGCTGACGAGCCATCGAAGGATGCGCACGCACGAACAGGCCTGGATTTCCTGCGCGCGGTGCATGCGAACCCTCCGCCTGTGGTCACTCCAGGCCCGTCTTCTTGCAGCAAAGGGAAACAGAGTTTGTCACCCCCGCCTGCTTCCAATGCCGTCGCGCCGGACAGTGCTCCCGCCACTGTCAGCGTGTCAGAGGTGGGCGAGTCATCGTCTGCAGCCTCGAAGAAGAGGCATCGCTACGCGCAGGCCGTTCTACCGTTCGGCACGCCACCAGCGAAACCGACTCCGCCGCGCGCTCCAGTCCAAGCTCCGAAGCGTATCTCCCGTGAACTCACCGACGCCGAGAAGGCTGAAGAGAGATTTTTGAAGGCGCAGCAGCTATACATCACGCAGTGGCTGTCGAAATTTGGCTGGCTGCTGCTGGACAAGAACAACGACGGGCTGCCCATTCTGCGATGCAGCATCTGCGTGGAGCATGGAAAGGACGATGCGAAATTTGGACGGAACGGAACGGGGGGGCGTGATCTACAGCTCGGATCAATGCGATGCCACGAGCTGAGCGGCCGCCATGAGGAAGCGATGAAGCGGCAGCGGACGCTCATGGCGGAGATCGAGCAACAGAAGAGGATCGACGACTTTGCCAATACCGACAAGGAGGGGGCGCGGCTGACCCGTCTCATGCGCGGCGTGGAGTTTATCTGCGACCACGACGCACCGATCGCGATGTTTCCGAAGCTCATAGGCTTCCTCGCGGAGGAGGGAGTCGATGACATCCCGCTTCAGTCCTACGGCGTGTACATCACACAGTAAGCGTGTGCCAAAATACCAGGCCGCAACCAATGGTTTCGCATTCCATCTGTGTCTAAGCCCTTTCACCACGGCTTGTGGCAGGTACGGATTCAACGAAATGGCCTCGGCGATGGCTAAGTACCAGAAAACACAGCAGCTGCAGCATCTTCTCGCTTCACCATTCATCGGCCTTACTTGCGACGAGAGCACCGATCGCGCTCGCGGCAAACATTTGATCGTGTTTGCCACCTTCCTAAAAAACGGCGAGTCCGTCACGGAATTTCTGGCACTGCTGACGGTGCACAAGTGCGACGCTTCCTCGCTTTTCACTATGCTCACAAGCCACCTGGAGTCTGTTGGGGTGGACATCAAGCGGGTTTCCGACATCGGCACCGACGGAGCTTCTGTGATGACGGGGGAGAAGAACGGCCTGGTCAGCCGTTTGCAAGAGCATGTGCCGCATCTCGTCGGATGTCACTGCGTCGCGCATCGGTGAGCTTCGCTTAAGCGTTTTCGACATTAATCGCATGCGATGTTGTAAAACCGTTCTCGTTTAGCTTTACTAAACTACCACTTGGACGTGTTGCAGGGAAGCCCTCGTGGTCAAGGATGTTGCGAAGGCTTTCCCCGACCTGAACATGATCGACGCTGCTGTGCGAGCCGTGGGAGAGATTATCTGCCGTTCCAACATTTGGTACGACAGATTCAAGGAGCTGCAACAAGAGATACACAAGACAAATCTCGAACACCAGGGACTGTTCAACGTCCATTGGCTATCACGTGGAGATGCTATAGCGAGGCTATGCAGAGTACTTGGGGCGGCGATCGTCATGATTGTTGAGTACCGCCACAAAATTGCTGCAACAGTACAGACCTTCAAATTTCACTTCTGTTTGTACTTCCTCGTAGACATTCTTGCTGTGCTCAACTCTCTCAACCGCTTCTTCCAGCACCGCAAGGCAAGTTCCAGGTGGACATTACACTTGTGGCCAACTTTTTCAGGTTGCAAGTGTGGTAACACTAAAATTTTCCTCGACTAACATGTTTCACGTGCCCGTTGTGTTCCAGGTGGATATCACACTTGTGGCCAAAGAAGTCGACCACACGATCACCATCATCATTCACCGTTACATCCAGTACAGCGACACCTTTGGCGGCGAGGCCACCAAGCACCTGTCCAAGTTCATTAAGCAGCAAGGTGGTGACAACTAGACGGTGGTGGTTGAAGGCATTGACTCGGAGGGGCGGCAGACATCACACAAGTTCGAGCTGAGCGAGACCCCAATCAAGAAGCACAAGTTTGGGGGCACGCTTGCTGACTGCGAGAAGCTCTGCACAGGGTTCGCGAAGGAAATTGTCGCACGCATGAAGTACCGCATGTGGGACTTGTAGCAGTTGGTCGGCGTGAAGCTGTTTCAAGTTGAATCGTGGCCGAGCAGAGATGACCAGCGCGAATTGAAGACCCTCGAGTGGCTGGCCGCAAACGACGAGCTGTTTGGCGGCATGCTACCAGGTGAGCTGTGATTTTTCATTTCCTTTGATACATATTGTCTCATGCATGTCACCCAACATCGGACAACCACCGCTAACTACTTCCACTGCCCCAAACCCCTTCTCCGTCAGGATTCGATTTTAAGGCCGCCAAGAAGGAGCTGAGGAGCTTTTGTCACATCATGCCACGCCATCACGCGGGAGAAAATTTTCACCAGGGTCTTCACAGCATGTTGAAGAGCCGGGATTGGCGACGCAGCTATCCGAACCTAATGACACTCTGGCAGGCCCTCGCTGTGCTGCCGCTGAGCACAGTGGAGTGTGAGAGACGGTTCAGTCGCCACAATATCATCAAGAGCTGGATGCGTACATCGCTGTGCGATGCACGCCTTGGCGACCTGATGACGCTGCACATGCTGAAGTACCCCTACGTCTGGCCAGACGTGGTGGACATCTGGCGCAAGCAGAAAACGCGCTAGCCTGCAAAATCAGTTGCGCCAGCGAAACCTGTGGATCGGAAGGGGAAGCAGAAGGCACCAGAGCCAAAGGAGGAAAGTGACCACGATGAACTGTGAAATGAGTTAGCAGGAATGAGATGACTAAGGAAAGATTGGGTACAAATACAACCCTAGAAACCCTGTACCCCATATGTGCTACCCCACTATAGCCTACAGCAACTATGTCATATAAATCTGACACACCCCCATAGGCAAAGTGGGGGAGAACAAGGGGTCACAAGACCAGTCAAGCAAAACAAAGCAAGCTCAGGGTGGATCACAAAGTCACCACACAGTCCGAGCGCAAGAGTAGGGCCAGAGGCCAGTTCACATGCAGGAGTACAGACATATATATAAAACTAGACAAACAAGAGCAGGCATATATATATGTCACAGTACAAGTGAAGTCAAGAGGAGAGCAAGTGAGGCAAGACAGGCACAAGACCCAGCTGGGTGCAAAAGCGCTGATGGTCACAAGGCGCGAGTGCCTTGGTGAACACATCAGCAGTGTTGGCCTCAGAGGCCACGTACGCAAGTCGCAACTGACCACGCTGCTGCAGCTCACGAGCAAGGAAGTAGCGGAGAGCAATGTGCTTCGTTCTGTGCTCCAAGCGCTGCTCTCGACACAAGGCCAGCATGGCCTTGTTGTCTACGTACAGCACTGGAGGAGAACGAGGCGGCTCTCCAAGGTCAGTCAGCAGGTAGGTGAGCCAGCGAAGCTCCTGTGCAGCCATGGCCCCGGCGTAGATCTCAGCCTCACAACTGGAGCCGAGAACCGAAGACGAGCGAGTAGACCGCCACGAGACAGAGCCGGAACCAAGGCTGAAGGTGTAACCCTGTGACGACCGCTGCGTAGCCTGGTCGTCAGCCCAAGAAGCGTCCGCGTGGCCGGTAAGGACCACTGGACTCCGCCCTCCAAGCACTAGCCCCATGCCCGACGTACTGCACAGGTAGCGCAATACCCTCTTCGCTGCAGCCATGTGCTCCGGTCTGTGTCTCCCAGGAGCAACATAGCGTGCAAGAATGCTCAGAGGGTATGCAAGGTCAGGTCGTGTGCAGGTCATCAGGTACATGAGGCAGCCAACAAGCTCTGCATACGGACCACTCGACTCTACGGACTCATCCGAAGGCAGAGCTGAGAGTGAGTGGCGAGTAGGCAGAGG